GGTTGAACAATTGCATAAAAATGTGAGGATCTAAAGCATTTCTTTTAACATAATCTCTTCATATCAGTGGGTCAAAAGTAATTGGACAAATTAAACAACTGAAAATAAGATGTTCATTTCTAATACCTGGTTGAAAACCCCTTGATGGCAAGGACAGTCTGAAGGTTTGAAATCATGGACATCACCAGGTTTCCTCCTTTTTAATGCTCTGCCCAGCCTTTACTGCAGAGCAGTCTTTCAGTTGCTGTTTGCTTGTGGACCCTTCTGTCCAAAGTTTAGTCTTCAACAGTGAAATGCATGCTCAGTTGGGTTAAGATCAGGTAACTGACTTGGCCATTCAAGACTATTCCACTTCATCCACATCATCAATAAATACTAGTGCCCAGTGCCACTGGCCCAAGCCATCATACTCCCTCTGCCATGTTTTGCAGATGATGTGCTATGCTTTGGATCATGAGCCGTTCCACGCCTTCTCCATATTTTTTTCTTGGCATCATTCTGATAGATGTTGATCTTGGTTTCATCTGTCCAAAGAATGTTTTTTCCAGAACTGTGCTGGCTTTCTTAGATATTTTTTAAGCAGAGTCCAATCTAGCCTTTCTATTCTTGGGGCTTATGAGTGACTTGCACCTTGCATTGAACCCTCTGTATTTACTTTAGTCTTTCACGCAGTGTTGTTCACTTGGTTGGCTGTTGTGAAGCTGTTTCTCTTCACCATGCAAATGATTCTACGATCATCCACCAAAGCTGTCTTCATGGACGTCCAGGTCTTTTTGCATAGCTGAGTTCACCAGTGCTTTCTTTCTTTCTTTCTTTCTTTCTTTGGATGGACCAAACTGTAGACTTTGCCACTCCTAATATCGTAGCACTTCTTCGGAAAGGCTTTTTTCTGCTTTAACAGCTTAAGGATAGCTTGTTTCACCTGCACGGAGAGCTCCTTTGACTGCATGTTGTCTGTTCACAGCAAAATCTTCCAAATGCAAGAACCACACCTTAAATAAAGTCCAGGTCTTTTATCTGCTAAAATTGATTATGACATAACAAAGGAACTGCCCACAGCTACTGATGAAACAGCCTTTGAGTTAATTGTCCAATTGTTTTTGGTCCCTTTAAAAAGAGGTTGACAGCAAAAAAAACTTGTGTCCTTGTCCAAATATATATGGACCTAACTGTATGTATATAGTTTGAACTTTTTTACTTCTTCATTAAAAATTGATAAACATCTGCCACCAAGATCTTTTGATAAAGTTCATGAATAATTCTGCCAATACAAACTTAAGGTACATGACACTTTGAAAAGTAATAATTTGCACTATCATATGTGTGTTCCGTGAATATCAGTCCACTATACAATAAAAACAGACACACTGTACATCATATCATATATTGCATTTCTGGCCTCCTCGCCTCTCATGGCTGTATCTTTCTACCTTTCCTCTTTCTCCCTTCAGTCCCATTTATGGTTACTATTTTTGCCTTCCTGTTGTGTTGCTTCTGTTCTGTACAACACATTAGTTTCTTCCATTATCTGTGTGCAGCTTTGTCTCTAATGTCACTATTTTATCTAGAACAGCCGCTCTTTGTGCTGTTTAAGCTGATGCAGCTTTAAGTAAACTTGTTGTTTTTTGCCACCAGGACCATGGATGCCTTCCACCTCGGTTGTCCAGCCCTGCACTCTCACCCTTACTCCGGCCTGAAGCCTAAGCACAGTAACGTGGTTTTCCTGAAAACCCACAAAACAGCCAGCAGCACCATGCAGAATCTCCTCTTCCGCTTTGCAGAGCGCAACAACCTGACGGTGGCGTTACCCATACAGGCCTGCGGCCACCAGTTCTGCTACCCGCGATCCTTCACAACTCACTCTGTGCATCAGCACACGCTACCGCCAAACATCGTCACCAACCACATGCGCTTCAATAAGGCTGAGCTGAAACGACTGATGCCAAATGATACGATATACGTCACGATCCTGAGAGAGCCTGGCTCCATGTTTGAGTCCTTGTTCAGTTACTATAACCAGTACTGTCAGAGTTTCAAGAGGGTCCCTAATGGTTCACTGGAAGCTTTCTTAGATGAACCCTGGCGCTACTACAAACCAGAGGAGAACTACTCCATGTATGCACGTAACACCTTGACCTACGACTTGGGCGGAGACAAAGATCGCCCAGCGAAAGATATCTCTTATGCAAAAGCTTTTGTAGCACAGGTGGAGCGAGTGTTCTCCCTAGTGATGATCTCTGAGTACTTTGATGAATCTCTGGTTCTACTTCGACACCTCCTTTCCTGGGATCTGGATGACATTTTGTATGTTAAGCTCAACATGCGGACGCCAAGTTCCAAGCAGGGCCTGACTGACGATCTTCGCAAAAAGATCCGTGCCTGGAACTCCTTAGATGCCCAGCTCTATGATCACTTTAACGCTTCACTGTGGCGTCAAATCTCTGCTGTGGGTCCAGCCTGTGTGGCGAGGGAGGTGCGCCTCCTTCGTGAGGCCCAGGAGAAGCTGATGAAAAGGTGTTTCGGTGAAGGCATGCCGCTTGTTCGTTCAGCTGCTGAAATCAAAAACAAGGAGCTCCGCCCCTGGCAGCCTAGCGGCAAAGTCGACATAGTCGGTTATGACCTCCCTGTAAATATTACCCAAAGCTTCTCGAGCCAGGACCAGGAGCTCTGCCTGAGGCTCATCATGCCGGAAGTCCAGTACACAAAGATGCTCCTACGTTCCCAGTTACTGCGGTACCGTCAGACCACTCAGGCTCGCCCTCAGCAGCAGTCACACTCCTTCCAGCAGCCCGTACGCACAGCCCTGCTTAGACATCCAGCCCACCGCAGCCAGCCACCAGTGCCTGCTGCTGCAACCCCGGCCTCAGGAACTGGAATCAACTCAAAGACTGCTGCAGGAACTCGAGGTCGGACAAATAAGCAAGGGACAAAACCCTCACAAACTCAGTCCTCATAGGCTGGAAAACTCCTCATAGACTTGAAAATTATCCGAGTGCCCAACAAACTGCATTGTTTAACTCATCATGACCCATGAGACTATGATTGTTGGCTGGTCTGGGGTTTTTGGGGAATAAGGCTATCCTTGGGAAATGTCTGGGTTTATCTTGAATTAGAGTATCCCCTCTTCCTTCTATGTGTGTTTGGTTTGACATGAAAATAAATTAGGAAAAAGGGGATTGGACATACTTGGACTTGAATTTTAATCTTTCTCCTTTCCGATCCATCAGACCTTATCAGGGTGGGAAGGCACAAAAGCTGGAGGAACACTGGGAGGGAAGTTTAACCCAGCTGTACGCCTCTGCAGCCCTGACTGCAGTGGATATGAGAGGGTTTCGGATGAAAGTGGTTCTTTGAAGGAAATCTGTTTCATGCGACTGGGACTCAATAGAGAAGTGGCGATATCGGGTCTATTGTGCAGCACAGAGTGTGCTTTGTGTGTATCACACTGGGATAGTATCATGTTACTTGTGTTTGTTCTCCGTTTCTCAAGCTCTCATTTGCTCTCTCTCTCTCCTAACATATGCCACTTAAAGTCCTTGAGGAGACATAATGACATAAAGGGATCAGCTGTCAGGCCTCCGAAGAGCCTCCTAAGAGGCCAGACAGACACTGAGATCAACTCACAACCATTAATGTAACAGCACAAAACAACTCTTCCTTTTTTGGCCTTTTTTTTCTTACTAACTCTAGAGTTGAAATCAGTGAAGGGACAGGGGATAAAAAGGCCAGAGAGATGGAGACCTTATCCTGAGGGTAAGCCTAAAAACTGCTGGATACTCAATTTGGCCATACAAGTCCCACAGAGACTGAGCACACGTGCGAAGCCTGTGTCCCGTCAGCTTTTTGACCTCCCTTTCTTCCTTCTAAGGTCCTTCTCTGCATTCACCACCCTGTCATTACGGCTGTTGCCCTCTGGGCAGGCTCTCCATCCACCAAGAAGCACTAACATCTTTTTTTCTCCAATCCCCGGTACTTCATCGAACAGCCAGACAAGATCACACCTCACCTTGTGGAGACTCTGTTAAGGTGATGCTTCTGGATGTGGGGATTTACTTTAAAGCTTGGGCGTTATTGCAATAAGATCTCCAGGCCCTTCGCCCTGAATATGAAAGGCATGGATTTAATAACCTACCAGCAACCCTGTGCCGCATATACAATAATCACACACACATCAAACTCCTTGATGGGACAAAGACTTGAAGCCTGTGGATCGTGGCGCTTGAATATTTAATCATCTCCTCTCACGGGCCGCCTATGGCCCGGGTTCTAGGGTTACACGGCTGTACGTTGTCATTAAGGACATGTTCAACCAGGTGAAAGCTGCTCAATCCGAACGCTGAAGCACAGAAAGACAAAGGGAGAGCGTTAATGCACGATCCTTAAAGCCTCTTAAGGCAGCTGGGCCGACTGGGGTCTTAAAGAGTCTTCATTTATCTCGGCTGTGATCCATTTTTAATGCTTTCTGCTCATATTTAATGTGTCATTTATGTTCTTTTATTACTCTGGTGATCAGTAGGGTGCTGCTGAGGAAGTGAAGGAACAATATAGTTGTGTGAGAGTATGTGTTTGAGCCAAGAAATGTCTCTCGGCTCATGTCGGGGGTTTTTTTGGTTTTTTTTTCTGTGGCCTGCAAGATTTATTAAACTATGTATTATTTATGATCGGGACTTAAAGAGCCCCATTATTGTATTTTAACTGGTATTTTTCATGAATCACTGGATGAAAACTACTTTTCCATCGATTTGGTGGTTCGTGGTGTGCACGGCTTACCACTTCAGGCAGCAGAGATGGAACAAGGCATGTGGAAACGGTTTAAAATATTAATTCTGTACATGTTATACATAATGCAAAACTACAACAAACTGCACATCGAACCTACTCTAGTGGCTTCAGAATTAATCTCCCATTCAGCAGAGCTAAGTACTTAACCACACTACGTGTTTGTGGTTTGAGTGTGTCAAACCACAGGTAACAATAATAATAAAATAGACACACACAGCTGCTGCTCAGAAATAAAAAGCAATGAAGCCATCAGGCAACAGACGCGAGGAGAGGATGCACAGTTTTATGAAGTAGCTGTGAGAATCTGAATGTGTGCAATGCATAATAGTTTTTATTTATTAGACATGTGAAATGTCTTCAGATATGTGTAAAAACCTTTTCAGGTTACATGCACTGTAAAACATGGGCAAACATGAAGAAGGCTGTGGTTTTGTATTTTCTTGCTCCCATGAAAAGACCAAAACCAGCAATATGTAAATTGGTCTGCCAACTTCCTGCTGTGAAAGCACACCACAACTCCCTAAAGACGCCTCAGTACTGAGCAAAAGTCTAGAGTCACCCTTTATTTCTTTATATGTTGTTAGAAAAATGGGAAATAGGTACGACAATTTATTGAAACATATGTATACAAACATGGTAACGCAGTGCGTACAATTGTAATGAGCTTGAAAGTCGGTGTTGGTAGGACCACCTTTATTCTTCAGCACAGTCTGAACTCTCTTAGGCAGCTTTCTTGTTATTGTTTTAAGTAGTCTTCAGGAATAGTTTTCCAGGCTTCAAAGGACATTCAAAACATCCGCTGCTGTAATGCAGCTCCCAACCATGAAAGAACCTTCACCGTGTTTTACAGATACCAGAACTGCTGCCACTGATTTTCAGTCTTCTGTAGTTTGGCACACCTCAACCATCTTTCCACTGAGACCATTTCTGATGAAGCTGCAGTGAACATCAGATGCATGAGTTGAAGGTCCAGATCCATCTCTCAGGTCCTGTGTCAGGTCTTTGCTAGATTCTTTCCTGTTTCATAAGGACATGATCTTCAGATACTGTTAATCTGTTGTAGATAGCTGTTTTTGGCCTGACACGCCTTTGGTTCTCAATTTGTTCAGACACAATCCATTAAAACTGATCAGCTACAAGCACAGGACTTGTCCAAAGAAAAGCTTTGAAAGAGCCTCAGAAAGCCTGGAGAACTATTGCTCTTGCATCATTTTAAAGCTATAGGAAAGAATGAAAAGAGATGAGGATTGGCTCCAAACATTTGCACAGTACTGTACAGTAGTACAGTTTGACTCAGTGAGTGTGTTTCAGATATTTTTGGACAACAAAGGCACTGGAGACATCAAACTTGATTGATTATATGTCGTAAGAGCGATGTGTTGTTGGCTTTTTCAGTAACATAAAGTATCAGCAGCCTTATCCTTTACCAAAGCAGGGCTTCTCAAAATCTTTGGGTCCTAGGACTCCTTACAGAGTCCTTACCTCAAATCCTAACACTGGGTTAGCTAATTTGGATTAAGCATTAGATGAAAAGCTGACTGACTCACGCATGTGTTCACTAACTCAATAGTTGGCTAATAAATCCAGCTTTGCAGCAGCAAGACCACTTTGACTCTTTGAGTTTCTACTGGTGCAAAGTAAAGGACAATATATAGCTAATAGCATAAATTTATCTATTTAGCAATTCCTTACTTGCTAAGATGTTATTACTCCGGACCTCTGAGACGTCCTCAGATCCCACTCTGAGAAGCACGGCTGCAAAGGAGCTGGCAGCTGATGCTGACTTTCATCATTCCCAAACAAACAAAAACCATGACTGTGAATGCAACTCCTAAATTGCTTAAAGCACTTGTGAATCTGCTAATATAAAACAAATGATACATTATCAAAAAGTATTTGCATTAATTTTAAATCTAGACCAAAAAATGACTGAAAATTGTTTTATGTATTTATTTATTTATTGAACTGAACCATGTTTGTTTTTCATGCTTCACATAAAGGACGAAAACCTGGTGTTAGATTTGATCTAACTGATAAAGACAGACAGTTTGGAATAAAAAAAGTAATTATCTTCATTTTTTTCAGTGAAACTATACATTTATACATATTTCTGCAATTTTGGACACTTTGGGTCTCTACAGAGGTTTCTGATAGTCGAATGTAGTTTTTTTCTTTTACGTGAACTTTCAACTTATGTTTGCAGTCATTAAATAAAAAATTAAACGCGGGCATCTGCAAACGCTCTTCTTCAGATTTCCATATCTGACTGGGATTCAGATGAAGAACGTGTTTCCTGTCGACCGTTCATTTGAGAGCCTGCCTCCGAGTGGCTGTAAGCGCTCTTTTGATTGTACAAGACGTTTGCTCGGCTGTTCTGCTTCATGTCAGAGTGTTTCGCTAATGGTCCTGCTGTCATGTCTAAAGTGTCGGCTATTCTTTCTTGGGTTATGCCAGAGGGGCTGTGAAAATGGTACGCTAAAAAACAAAACAAAAACAAAAAAAACCTCATCATCTCCACATTAGCTGGCCCCTCTTTTCTTGTGAGGGAGAAATGTGAAGCTGCTTTAAAAAAACAAAAAAACTGGAACATGAAAGCCTTGTGGGATCAGAGCATTTTTTTGTGTACCTGCTGAGCTTTTATGTGTCACAGGGAAGTAAACATGAACTGCATTGTTGCCCACTGTCCTCTTTGATGTGCACATTATGTTTTGGGAGGGGGTTATCTGTGAACTGAGAAGAATGAGAGAGTTTGGTTTTTTTGTAATTCTGTGAATACTTGGATAATGTTGGGTGGGTGATACAGCTCTGAAGACATGGCTAGTGACAATCAGAGCTAGGGGCCCCAAAGCTTTGTAATGATGGTTGATGAGAGGGATGAATAAAGTTTGAATGATTTCAATTCATCTGCGAGTGAGTGTCTTTTGACTCTGCCGCTTTTTCGGTGAGATTTATTCAGATATGCGGACCCTTGAATTATTCTGGATATCACAGCAATACACGCACACACTCTTCATCAGCGGTGAAACATAACACACGGCGACAGTCGCTCAATTAAGATTCAGATACTAAACGGTTTCTATTTCCCTGAAGACTGAAACCAGACTTTTCAGGCTGCAATCAGTCTTTGGAAATTACCTCCATTTAGCACGCCCGCCTAAATGAATGAACAAATTGCTTCTCAGCGGGACAAAAACAAAATGCAGAGCGGCGTGTGTTTGATATGACTGCGATTGAAGCAGTCACCATGCTGTGTCCCACTCCGCCGGCCTGTCATTATGGCCTGCTGTTGCCATGGCTTTGGCTGCTAAGAGGTGGCCCTCCGGAGTCTCGTCGCCGCTCTCGTTTTTTTCTCTAACACGGCGGCAGCCTTTCTGTTTGTTTCTCTATCATAACCTGCCATAACCTGGCCTCCAACCATGCGCATAATTACAGTAATTATGCTAACTGTAATAACAATAACATAGAATGAAATGACCACAGGAGAAATAGATTTCCTTCACCACTCCATCCACTATCTTCTAAAGCAAACTTACTGTCAGAGGATGTGCAGTGAGGGCCTTTAACAGCTGTAAACAGCTGTTAAACAAATGCTCCGCTCTCTTTATGTGTCAGATGTATTTATGCCTGAGCAGCTGGGGTCTCTGATGCGTGAAATTCACTTCAGCTTATATAAATGACTCTATTAATTGAGAATGTACCCAAATGTATTTGGCGGATTGTTTTATTACCTCTGCCAAGGAGGTTGTGTTTTTGGTAGCGTGTGAGTCTGTAAACACGGCAGCTCGAAACGTTTTGAAGTAATTCTGATAAAACTTTGTAGGGGTGTAGACTCGGGTCAGGTTAGTCATCCATTAAAATGTCAACTTAATGATTTATTGATTGAAAATTACAAAAATCCTTATAACTAAGAAATTATATTTCTTAAATGTGTATGTGTATTGTCAACATTTAGCAAGAACTTGTAAAATATTCAATTCAGTTCAGTTTTATTTATACAGAACACAACAACAGTCGCCCCAAGATACTTTATATTTTAAGGTAGACCCTACAATAATACATACAGAGAAAAATCCAACAATTATATGACCCCCTATGAACAAGCACTTTGGCGACAGTGGGAAGGAAAAAGTCCTTTTTAACAGGAAAAAACCTCCAGCACAACCAGGTTCGGTGAGGACTAGCCATCTGTTGGGCGTGTGAGTACAGTATACAGGACAAAGACACACTGTGGAAGAGAACCAGAGATGAATAATGGCTAATGATTAAATGCAGGCAAGTGTATAAACAGAGTGATACGGTACTATGAGGTCTTTAAGATAAGATGGGCTATGATTCAGGAGCTTGTATGTGAGGAGAAGGGTTTTAAATTCAATTCTGGATTTAACAGGGAGCCAATGACGAGAAGCCAGAATGGGAGAAACGCACTGTCTATTTCTAGTCTTTTTCAAAACGACTAACCCCCCCCCAAATTCCTTTGTCTAACAAATTATGGACCTAAGTGTCAGGCATTTTAAATTTGGGCGGCACAAGATACCTGCTCAGAGCCACAGGAGAATGTGACAGCAGTGCACGACATAAATGGACTAGAGTGGGGGCACAATCAAATGCACCTGCCTGTAATTAGCCCAACCTTAGTGCAGCCACTGCCTTCACGGCATATGTGAATGCACCTGCACCTGCACCTGCACACACACACACACACACTTTCAAATCAGTGCCAACTGCTCACTGCAAATGTGGAGGTGAATTAGTGTGCCGAATAATACAAGCCCACCAAATTACACCCCCACCGATTACTGCTTAAGGCTATGAATGTCAATTCAGGAAACTGACAAAGACTCAGCCTTTGCTCTCTTCTACATTATGAAAGATCAGCCTCACAGAGTGACTGGCAGGATTTTTGTTTCACATTTTCTCAATCATAATGAATAAACCCGTGTTAGTTCACCTTCATATCATACATTATGTAAAGGAAATGCTTGTATAGACGGGATTGTCGACATGTCAGTGTGCGTGTTGACCTCAATGAGATCAGTGAGTTACCACAGAGGTACTAAATTACTGCACAAATTAAGACAATTCAATAAAGTTAAACACCAAACAACACAAATAAGGTTAATATTTACTTTTAAAAGACTATTCAAGCTATATAGGTATAGCTGTATTATTAATTTGTCAGCTTAGTTGGTATTGTCATGGAGACCAGAAATGTATCTTCCAACTACTAGCTTAAAGTTACTGCTAGCTGACCACTGTGTAGCCAAGATGATAACTACTTAAGAGTAAACCGACCCACACTGGGCTTTTCAACCAACATCTGCATGTCCTTCATCGAGCACTTGATGTCATTACTTGTCAGCTTGAATGCACCCATATACTCAACACTGTAAGGATGAAAGCCCAGAGCATATGACCGGTTCAAAGGCTGGAACATCGAGTAGTTACCCCATTAACCGAGAAAGGGTTAACAAGATTTATTAAACCCAACAATAAACCAGATATATTGTATCCAGATACACAAATTGCTTTCATCTGGAATTAAGCAGCTGAATACCAAAAGAAGCAGTCTGCATGCCAGGGGCGATTCTAGAATCAGAGCTTTGGGGGTGCTGAGCACCCAGAGAGCTGCCCAGCCAGGCAAGATA